AATCCAGTACCGCAAATCTTTCACACAAGACACAAAATGAAGATCCTCTTCATCTGCACAGCCTTTAACTCGCTTGCACAGCGCACGGCATTGGTGCTGCGCGAAAGGGGTCATGTCGTGACCGTCGAATATGCGCTTTCGCCAGAGGGCATGATCGAGGCTGCCGACCTCACACAGCCACACCTCATCATCTGCCCCTTCCTCACAAAGCACGTCCCGCCAAAGGTGTACAACACCTGGATGACGCTTATCGTGCACCCAGGGCCGCCTGGCGATGCCGGACCGTCCGCACTCGACTGGTGCCTCATCGGAGACATGGGCGAGATGAGCAATGCCGACCAGCAGCTCGCCCTTATCGACGCAAAGCACAGCGCGAAGAACGCCTCGGCTTCGACGCGCACACACTGGGGTGTGACTGTTCTCCAGGCCATCGAGGCCTTCGATGCAGGCCCTGTCTGGGCGTTCGATCAGTTTGAACTCAGCGCTGAAACGGCGGCCATGTCCAAGAGCGATCTGTACCGTGGACCTGTTACGCGCGCAGCGGTCCATGCGGTCCTTGCTGCTGTGCAGCGCATCACGGAGTGCGCAAGGGTGCAAGCGGCGCAGAAGGGGCACGAGTCGTACCTGCCAGTAAGCACAGAGGTCGTGGCACCAGCACGCTTCAGGACCCAGTGCGTTTCCAATCAGGTACCGTTTTTGGGCGGGAGGACACACGATCGTCCGCTGCTTAGGGCTTCGCAGCGCGACTTTTTCCCGCTGGTGTCGCAGGCCAACGCCAACGCCGGTAGGTCGAGGCTCTCGGCAGATGCCATTTTGCAACGTATCCGCAGCGCCGACTCGCAGCCAGGCATGCTCTCGAGTCTGCTCGGCACGCCGCTCTTCCTGTACAACGCGCATGTGCAGCGAGACCCGCTTCCGCCCGCCGTGGCTTCAAGGCAGGCTGCACTCAACCAGCCCGGCACCGTGCTCGCCACGCGCGAGGGCGCTGTCCTCGTCGACGTGGGAGCCGACTTGCCCATCTGGATCGGCCACCTGCGTCGTCCTAAGGCCAAGACCGACAAGTATCTGCAGCCCAAGCTGCCGGCCGTGATGGCGCTGCTCTCCATGCCGGACGTCGCTGCCAAGCTCGGGCTGATGGACGCCAACAAGGTGCCCGAGTGGAGTGCCACGACAGGCTTTGGTGCGGATGCGTCGCAGCCCTGGAAGCGACGCGAGGGAACCTACCAGCAGGTGTGGGTCGACGTCGAGTCAAGCCCTAAGACCGCTTCGGCCGTGGCGTACGTGCATGCCGACTTCTACAACGGCGCGTTTTCCACGACGCAGTGCGAGATCCTGCTCGCGGCCATCCAGTGGACTCTCGAGGTTCCCGGCCTCAAGGCCATCGTCATGCTCGGTGGCCCGGGATACTTTTCCAACGGCATTGCGCTCAACGTCATCGAGGGCTCTCCCGACCCGTCGGCCGAGGGCTGGGCGAACATCAACGCGATCGACGATTGCGTTCAGGCGCTGCTCGCCCCCCGAGGAATCGTCACCTTTGCAGCCATGCGCGGCAATGCGGCTGCCGGTGGCCTGGCCATGGCGACCGCGGCCGATTTTGTCATCTGCGCCGAGAGCGCCGTGCTCAACCCGCACTACCGCGGTCTCGGCCTGTTCGGGTCCGAGTGGCACACGTATTCCTGGTACGAACGATGCGGCTCGCGCGTCGCCGCCAAGTTTGCGCGCGAGATGCTGCCCATGAGCTCGCACGAGGCCAAGAGGATCGGCCTTGTCGACCACGTGCTCGACAACGACGGCATGGACGCAGCTCAAATGCTGGCGGCTATCAAGGGGCTCGTCAACGAGGTGATGGATGCCGACATCCACGCGGCGAGCGCGGCAGACGGCTTGGTCGCTTCGGGTGCGCCGTGGACGCGCTCGCTCCGCCCAGCATCGGCGGATGCGGCTCAGTCGGCGCTGCTTTCGGAGCAGATTGTGCGCAACAAGATGCGATACCTCGCCTACCTCTTTGCCGAGAACGCCGATGCGGCCAACAGGTCGCTCTCGATCGATGAGCACTTCCAGCGGTACCGCAAGCACGAACTGGACCAGATGACGCTCGACTTCTTCCACCCGCACCGGAACCCGCGCTTCGCGAGCCGATGCACCGGCTTTGTGCGTAAGCTCGTCCCGGACGCAACGCCGATGCGATTCGCGCTCCACCGTCGCTACGCTGACTCGGCAAATGACTGGGCTAGCTCCGAGCAGGCCGCCACGGCTACGGTGCACCTGGATGAAGAGGAGCGCGATGAATTCGATGGGCTCGGAGACCTGCCCGCCTCCGCCGCTGTAGCTCGACTTCCCGACGTGCGACCCGAATTCGTTGTCCACGACAAGGCGAACGATGCTTTGGGGACGAGAAACGCTCGCGCCTACAGTGTCGGACACGACACGATTGCCTCGGCGGTCTCGGCGGACGGCAACGGCATGGACGGCGGTAGTGGGCGCACTTCCATGTCGACCGTGCCAACCACCCCTCGTGGAGGCAGCCCCAAGCCGGTCTTCTCGATCGGAGACGAGGAGGCGCAGCGCGTCGAGATCGAGGCGGAGCAACTCAAAGTGCACCGTCGCAGTCCCGATGCCGGCCTGCTCGGCACCAACGCTGTCAAGCGAGGTCCCACGGCCATTTCGTTTGCTGGTGCCGATGACGTCCTCGCGGCTGCCAAGGCGAGGACCGGTGTCAAGGTGGGTTCGGAACGCTCGACTGCCGTACCTGCTCCCCGACCCGCCCCTGCGTCTGCGACCAAGGAGGATAAGAAGCCGTCGGGCAAGATCCAGCGCTTCTTCCAGTCGCTCAGTCGCAAGAGCCGCGCGAACCTTCAAGCCGAGGCAAGTACGGCCGTTGTGCCTGCTGTCCCCGCTGTGACTGCTGTGCCCGCTGCTTCGGCAGCCGTGGCCGCTCAAGCGAGTGAGGCGACAGGCAAGTCGGCACCCGCTTCGCCGGTACGCACCAGCTCGCGCATGGACGCGGCCACGCGTCAGCGACGCCGATCGTCGATCTCGGACGTCTTCTCCATCCTTCAGAACGGCAGCCGTCCCAGCTCAGCCAACCAGGCCGGAGACGAGCCCGCATCGCCCACCAGCAAGCAGGAGCGACGCAGGTCGTGGAGACCCACGTCGAGCTCTGGAATCAACTTTGGATTGGACCGCTCGAACGAAGTCAACAAGTCGTTGCCTCCTACGCCCATGACAAAGACCAACGGCTTCCAGCCCAATATGACCGCGACGCCCAAGATCCTCGAGGAACCGTTCAAGGATGGCGTGGCCGCCCAGGACGCCAACTGCCTGTGGAGCTGCTACTACTCGGAAGACGGAGAAAAGGTCCAGCGTCCCCTGGTGGCAAACGTCCAGGCGGCTCCCATCTCCGCCTAGACTGGGAACGAATTGCTATGCCGTGACCTTGTAGTTTGACTCTTGTTTTGCTCAGTCCTTTGATATGAAACGTCATCTTGTCACACTTGAAGACACTTGCGTGAAGGCATCTGCTCTTGGGTCGCCCGAGTCATATGCATTGTTCTGTGGCGTGTGAATCGTCGCGCAGCGAGCCTCTTCATTCCGGCTCAGTTTATGAACCGGCCCTTGATCGGATCTTCGGTCGGCCTCCCCTTTCGGCTTGCCGCAAATCACCTCCCTTCAGCTCATCTTTGGCGCTCGTGCAGTGATCACATCAAAATCAAATGTGGCTTGATAATTCGTGGGCGGTATCGCATGGTCAGGACCGAAGAATGTCAGCCTTGAGGCAAAGATGATTCTCATCACATTGTCAGCAGGTCTGTGCGCTCGGCTTGACTTCATATCAGTGGTGGGGGTTCCGAGACGAGACGCTGGCAGCGGAAGTGGGGCGTTAAGTCAGGGGCTGGTGGCAGCAGCACCCCTAAAAGCGCAAAGTCGCCTCCGAGAAAGGGCCGGGATCTTGCCTTTCTGCCATACACACACACGCTTTTCACCCTAATCAGCCCTTGCCGCAGGACTCAGTCGATAGGCTTCTTGCGAGTGATAAAGTAAGAGCACCATGCACAGCCCACTGGATATCACCTCGCCCCGCTGTCCAAGCCACGAAGTCTTCTGATTCTGAATCAAGGTCTTTCCGCCACGCCCACTCTCTGAATCCACCAACCAACGCCTTTCTCCCGGGTTCCGTTCTCTAAGCCCACCAGCCAACACTTTTCTTCCACGTTCCATTCCCTTGACCCATCACCCCACTAGGTGCCTTGTCTTTGACCCTGGCAGATCGTGCCTTCCAAACTCTTATTTATAGCGCCTGGTCGAACCCTTCAGCACGCCGGTCCACCCTACAGTCACTCCATACAGCTTTGTCGATCTCTTCGCTGACCCCTGTGTCAGTTGCTGTCTCAGTCTTTTCAGCCACTCTCAACGAAATTTCGGCTTCCTCCGCAACAATCAGTACCACTGCTCTCTCAACTATCAGTTGGCCGCTGGCCGCGGCCGCCGCTACTGTCGCCGCGGCTACCGCTGCTGCTACGGCTACGCCCACCACCTCGGCCGCCGATGCCTGCAGAGCGCCCAACAAGGTAGCCACTAGAGACTTACGCGCGTGAAGTTGCGACCGCAACCCCGCCATGCCTTGGCTCGAGGTTCATTCGGCCCTCGCCAGTCAGTGAGTTTTCCTCCCTCCCAACTCGGCTCGGTTTATCCTGCCCCGAATCAAAACGACCGCCCTGCCGCCAGATACCAACTTGTTGACCAGTTCATCGCCGTCTTCCCTGATGTTGAACTGCTCAGCTTTCATTGCCTGGAGAGTCCGGGCTGTGGAAACTGGGCAGTTCAGCACCAGGGAAATCGGCCATGAATTGATCCACTAGCTGGAATCTTGCCGCAAGGCGGTCCCTCGTCTTGATCCGGGGGAGGAGGAAACGGGCTGAGTTGGGGGCAAGAAATGCCCTCTGGCTGGCCAGGGCCAAATGGACCTCCAGCCACGGCATCGCTGGGTCGCGATCGGCGTGGAGGCTCCACATGAGCATCCCTCTGGTCACAGTCTTGCTGAGCCCTCTACCGGGGACAAGGCAGTAATGTTCTCGTCGGAGCAGGGAGAGGCTCGATTGTTATGACGGAGGAGACAACGACGCATGTTAAAAAGGTGATGGGCAGGGAATCGAAAGCGACGACGAAGTGTCTGTCGATTCCATGATGCCGTCAAACAACCTCACACAAATGCAAGGACGCCGGGAACGAGATGGCATCAAGTCTCGAACCTTGGCAAGGTTGGCAAACCTATAGAAGGGAAAACGCTCACACGATTGGGCGCGAGAAGGGATTTCTACTGGCCATCGCCTCAATTAGGAACCCGACACAGTTACCCTGACCGAGTCCTCTGAGACGATTGCCTGTGAGCCAGTGCAGTCTGCTCACGCTTCGAGGGTCTGGGTCGACATGAGAGGGAGCTACCAACCGTGGTGTCTGCCCTCTTTCCACCTTCCCACACTTCCTCTCGGCTCGGAGAGTCTTTTCTGGTATCACCCGTCCAGTTTTCGTTGCAATTGCACCTGATCATCGTGGCTTTGCTGGACTCGGCAAGTGTATGGCCCGCATGTGAGAGTCTTGCCGGTTGGGGTAAAGACGGGGCAGCGAGCCACGTGGCCGTGCTGGTGCGGAGGTCGGCGTTGCCCACAACCATGCTGAGGATGTACTCGAAATCAGGACTGTCGCGGACAAGCGAACGATGCGAGGCGATGCGAACGCCATCGACGTGGGCAGGAACCATGCACAGTGTGCTCGACGTGGAGAAATTTCGCCGAGCCCCACATGCACGAACCCGTGCCCCCCAATCAGAAGCACTCCTTTCTCTTTCAACGTATCCATTCGATCCTGACGCTTCAAAGCACCCTCTTTATCAACGACTGTACCTTTGACGCAGGACACCTCATGTCTTCTTGGTCTTGTGATATCAATTGAGCAAAGTTGTGTAACAATGACTTTTGACGGTGTTGCGACCGTTGTGTGAGACCCGGCGGAAAAGACGGGCTGAGCGGCTACGGTCGAAAAAATGTTCCGAGAAGCGCGAAAAAAGAGAGACGGGAAATCGGAGAGATTTTTTGGGTGCGTCGCTTGGCATTCGTCGGACCCCCACGTCCCCACGTCGACCCTGACGACGGATTTTCAGCGCTTGTGGGATCGCCCGCACGCGCTGCCCCGCAAAAAGCCTAATGCGAGAAAAGTGGGCGCTTGGGTTAATTAAATAAAATTTCGTGAATTAATTTTTATTATTGCATCGCCCCGCCGAATTCACCGACCTCCAACAGAACCTCGCTTCCGTAGCAAGTCGGGTCAACCAGGATCATCAGGCCTCTCCCACATGCTCTTCTTTCACCTCTCGTGTCCAGTCCGACCGGGCCGTCACAAGCGAGCCCCTTGGCCGCACAGGCGAGCCAACCAGAACCGCCGCCACGGGACCGGCGTCACAACGCTCTGCCGGGCCTCGCCGGTGGCCCCATCCTGCCCTCCTCACCCGTTGGTCGTACGTGGCGTACCCCACTCTTCCCCACGCCGATTCCTGCTCAGCCTTCTGTAGTCCTGCGTTTGCCCTGCGCCCCGCGTTGCCCCCACAAAGTAAGTTCTGGGGAGGGTTAGTATAAATAAAAGCTCGATGGCGCCCCTGCTTGCCTATCTCCTCCTCCTGTCTTCCCTTGAAATCTTTCCACAATGGGCGAGAAAGTCAACAGCCCGTCTTCGCAACGCTCGTCTTCGGCGCAGCACGATACCCAAGATGCCGTCTACGACGCGCAGGAGCTCAACGGCGCCGCTTCGGGCGTCGCCGCGCTCGATCCTAACTCCCCCGAGTACAAGGAGCTCGAACGACGACTTGTCCGCAAGATCGACATCCGTCTGATGCCGATCACTATTCTACTATACATTCTCAATTACTTGGACAGGAACTCCATCAGTACGGCACGAGACAACGGCCTGGAGCGAGATCTCGGCCTCAAGGGCCAGGAGTATCAAACGGCGCTCTCTATCCTCTACGTCGGCTACATCACCTTCCAGATCCCCTCGAATCTGTTCATGACCAAGCTCGGGCGTCCATCGCTGTACATCCCCACATTCGTGACGCTCTGGGGCGTCGTTTCGGCTTGCACGGCCGCAACCACTGGATACCACTCGCTCCTCGCGGTTCGTATTATCCTGGGCGCAGTAGAGTCGGCCTTCTTTCCGGCTGCGCTGGCGATGCTGTCGTTCTTCTACCGCAAGAACGAGATGGCCACGCGAACTGCGCTGCTCTTCTCGGGCAGTATCATCAGCAATGCCTTCTCGGGCCTCATTTCGGCGGGTATCCTTTCGAGGATGGAGGGCAAGGCAGGCCTGCCCGCTTGGAAGTGGCTGTTCATCATCGAGGGCGCCATCACGGTGGTGGTTGCTGCCATGGCTGTCTTTATCCTGCCGGACATGCCGGAGAACTCCAAGTTCCTTTCGGTCGAAGAGAGGCAGATGGCGGTCAACAGGCTCAAGCTCGACGTGGGCACCAGCCTCTCGCCCGATGAGGATGAGGGCACGCCTATGCAGGGTCTCGTCATGGCCGTCAAGGACGTCAAGGTGTGGGTGCTCGCCTTCATGCTCACCAGTGTCACTGTCGGTGTCGGTTTCAACCAGTTCTTCCCGACCATTGTGGGATCGCTGGGTTACTCGCATACCGTGACGCTGCTGCTCACTGCGCCCATCTGGCTGTTCGCCTTCTTTGCGTGTCTCGCCAACGGTCTGCACTCGGACCGTGTGCAGGAGCGTACGCTGCACATCATCATCCCGCTTCTGTTTGGTATTGTCGGCTTCATCATCTCGTCGACCACGACGAGCCTGGGTGCGCGCTTCTTTGCGCTCTTCATCGAGGCATCGTCGTACGCCGGATACACTTGTGTGCTCGGTTGGATCGCTCCGTCCATCCCCACGCCCAGGTACAAGAAGGCCGTGGCACTCGCACTCATCAACGCCTTTTCGCAGCTCGGCAACATCTCGGCGAGCTACGTGTGGCCCAAGAAGTGGGGACCCAAGTACTGGCAGTCCAACACGATCTCGTCGGCCATGTTTGTGGCGTGCATTGCGCTCGTGCTGCTGCACAGGGCTATGCTCAAGCGCGAGAATGCTCAGCTGGACAAGATCAAGCAGGAACAACTTACCTACGCGGCTGCATCCGAGGACGCCAAGTTTGGTTCGGAGGCAGGTGACGATGCCAAAGTGGTGCGCGACCCCGAGTCGCACATCGCCACTGACGCCGCTTCCAAGAAGCAGCAGACTCGCATCGCTATGGCCAAAAGCTCGTTCCGCTACATGCTCTAGGCCATTCATTCACCTTAGATCGCATGCTTTCCTTGTACTTTACCCCATCGCTCTCGGTGTCATGGATTGCGTTTGGCTCTGAAAATGACTTTGACACCACATCAATTTTGTGACCCGAATATATCGCCAGCTTTTTGAGATGAACTCGGAAATTTGGCCCGGCTCACAGGCGTCAGAGCGACACGCACTCCACTTTGTGAAATTCCGACGTTTTTGCCGCGTGTTGGTCTGACTCTTGGCTTTGCTTTGAGCCACCATCTATCATCCCGGTAAGCAGCAGCAGCGGTCGCACAAGGACGGATCCGTCATGCCGCAGACGGTAGCGACGCTCAGAACTTTTACATAGCGCGCGACGGAGCATCTGCACTCATGTCTCTCGAGCTGGACTGGAGCTTGCTCGACGACGAGCTGGCGGTGCGCTTCCTCGACTCGATCAACCGTGCGCTGAGTGCGTCTGCGTCCAAGCGGCCGTCGTTTCTGGACGACATCCACTTTGACGGACTGCGTTTCGGGTCTGATGCACCCGATGTGGCGATCCAGTCCATCTCGGACATCTGGCAGGACTTTGTGTCGATCGACGAGGCCCCGGCGCGGCGTCGCGGAGCATCGCGCCACGCCACACCCGCATCCAACACGACCACGCTGGTAGAGTCGCCGCACGAAGCGTCGCCCTCGCCAGTGGACATTCCGATCCGCACGTATACCCAATTCGACGACGCCGCCCCACCGCACCGCATCCACGGCCCGCCAAGCATTGTCTCGGCCAGCGTTGTTGGGTCGGCACCCATCACGCCCGGAGCAGGATTCGGGGCGAGTGCATACCATCAGCAGTGGTCCGCAGCACTGGCGTCTCGAGGCATCCGCGCTGCAGGGCTTGGCGGCGCATCGTCGCTGCCGCAGACGCAGGTGACAAGCCCGGTCGACTCGGTCCCGCCTTCTCCCGGCTACTTTCAGCACTGGCAGCAGACCACGGGCGCGCTCGGACCGCTCCCACCCCCGCCGTTCTCGGGAATCAATTCGAGACAGACGAGCTTTGATGCGTCGTCGCTTCGGGGCGGG